TTAGTTTGGATCAGGTAAGAGACCTGTATTTTTGTTACTTTTGAGTTGTTAGGTAAGTGTTAAAAATAGGAGGAAAAATAGTTTGTTTTATTATTTTGGCCTGAGGCTCACCCTGAAGTCTGGTAAGACTCCTGTGTAAATATTCAATCATTCACCTTGTAAATAAACACTATTAACCCTTTTTCATCTGACTCCGAGGCTGCTTGAGATGTACAGAGGGTGGAAACGCCCAAACCCCAATTACAACCTGGCGCAACGAGCATTTATTTTTGCCGGTTGTAACAGTCTTTAAGACATGCTTGTAGTTTAAGTAACTGATTGAATTTCTTGGGTTTAATGGACAAATATAATTGTGTCATCAGCATAACAATGAAAATTTATCCCATGCTGTTTAATATTTTTACCTAATGGAAACATATCTAAAGTAAAGGGTATTTGCCCAAGCACTGAGTCCTGAGGAACTCCATGACTAACTTTGGTGTATGAAGAAGATTTATTATTTACATTTACAAACTGGACTCTATCAGATAGATATGATTTAAACAATTTTAGAGCTGTTTCTGTAATCCCAACATCATATTCAAGCCTCTGTAGTAAAATATTGTGATCAACTGTATCAAATGCAGCACTGAGGTCTAACAGGACCAGTACAGACACAAGTCCATTGTCTGAGGCCATGAGAATATCATTAGTGACTTTTACTAGTGCTGTTTCTGTGCTATGATGAGCTCTAAACCCTGACTGAAACTCTTCAAACAGATTATTTTTTTGTAGATGTTCACGCAACTGACCTGCAACTATTTTCTCTAGAATTTTTGAGATGAAAGTTATAGGTCTATAATTGGCTAGAATTTCTGAATCAAGGTCAGACTTCTTAAGTAAAGGTTTAATTACAGCAACCTTAAAGCTCTGTGGTACACAACCATTCATTAAAGACAAATTAAGTAGATCCAAAATGTGGACATTAATTAGGGGAAATAGCTCTTTTAACAGTCTGGTTGGGATGGGATCTAGCAGACATGTGGATGGTTTGGATGAGGTTATTATTTTTGACAATTCAGAGAGCTCAACAGGACAAAAACTGTCCAAACACAAATCAGGCTGTAGTGAAAATTTTAAAGTTGCCTCATTTGACAGGGGACTAGAGATAGTAGAAGGAAGGATGGTTTGAATTTTCTCTCTAATTGAAATAATTTTATTTATAAAGAATCTCATGAAGGAAAGTAAAAAGTGATGTGAGACAGAAGAGACTGGGTCAATACAATTAACAAGGACTTTCCAGTGGGGAGGAGAAGGCTTTCGATTAGCAACATCCAGAGAAATGTTAGGCTCTAATAGTATACAGAGGAGTAGAAATGAGAACAAGGTGCAAAAACAGGAGCAACTTGTGAACCTTTGCTGTATTTATGTTTAACAAACCAGAACTTATTGTTAATGAAAAGTCAAATTCATGTCGTCATCCCTTTTATTGATTCAATGTCTAACAAAAGCCCAACACGGATGAACTTGTTATGCAGATTAAAGTCTTATAAACCTTTCTGAACATTAAGTTTAGACATATTGCTCAATACAAGATGAAGTATAAAATAATTAAAAATGAAGAATTAGTTTTTATTATTGATTGTGATGCTTTGCATGAGAGTAAACAAACCAACTTTATTTGATTTAAAAAAAAATCCTGCAGTAAACGTTTGCTTTTATTTTATGTTGTTGGGAATTCGTCCTAATTTTTATCAGGATGTCTCCAAAGGCCAAATGCATTTTACATCATGTGATGCAATATCCTCTTTAAATATATATATATATAAAATTGTAATAGTGTTTTTATCTTACTGATGGAGGCTGGAAGCCGAGCTGCTGCTCCTCTACATGGAAAGAAGTCATCTGAGGAGTTTAAAGCATCTGATTAGGATGACCTCTCTCTGCAGTTTTCCAGGCAAGTCCCACTGGGAGGAGAACCCAGGACAGACCCAGAACTCTCTGAGGGGTTACAGTATGTATACTCTTTGGCCTGGGAATGACTTGGGATCCCCAAAGAGGAGCTGAAAAGTTCCCACCTTCTCAACCTAAAGTAACTCAACCTCAGAGAAGAACGGCTGAGAGACAGAAAGGGGGAAGTCAGGGAGTGATGGATGAAAGAACTCAAATGTAGGCAAGGCAGGTTCAGATTCACCCACAAAAAAGATTTATTAAATAAACTCAGATTATAATATAAACAAAACACAATCAAACAAATATAAAGGGCTAAAGTGAGCAGAAGATCTAATACAGTGGTGAAGAAAGCTAAATGTACAAATATTAATGAGAATAATTACTGAGAACCGATGAAGAGGAGAAGAGCTGAAGAGCTGAAAGACAAGAGTGACTGATGGAAACTGAGGCTTCACAGAGATCAACTCAACTTCAAACATCTGGAAATATATTAAAACACAAAGAAAGTACAGATGAGAGACTTTGAGGAAAAACACCCTTGAAAGACAGAGACAGATAGAGAGAAGAAGAAGGGAACAAAAAGAGGAACAGAAAAAGAGAGAGGAACAGGGGAACAAAGAGAAGAAGAGAGGAACAGAAAGAGAGAGAAAGAGGGGAACAGAGAGAGAGAACGAGAAGAACAGAAGGAGAGAGAAAGAGGGGAACAGAGAGAGAGAACGCGAAGAACAGAAGGAGAGAGAAAGAGGGGAACAGAGAAAGAGAAAGAAAGACAGAACAGAGAAAGGAAGAGGGGAACAAAGAGAGAAACAGAGGAACAAAGAGAGGAAGAGATGAACAGAAAGAGAGAGAAAGAGGGGAACAGAGAGAGAAAAAAGAAGGGAATAGAGAGAGAGAGAGAATTAGAGGAACAGAAAGAGAGAAAGGGGGAATGGAGAGAGAGTGCGAGAGAAAGAGGAAGATAGAGAGGAACAGGGGAACAGAGAGAGCGAAAGACAGAACAGAGAGCTGAAGAGGGGAACACAGAGAGAGAGAAACAGAGGAACAAAAAGAGGATGAGAGGAATAGAAAGAGCGAAAGAGGGGAACAGAGAGATAGGAAAAAGAGGAACAGAGAGAGAGAGAGAGATGGAGGAATAAGAACAGCGAGGAAGAGGGGACAAAGAGAGAGAGAGGAAGATGGATGGATGGATGGATGGATACATGGATGGATGGATGGACAAACTAAAGAACAAGCAAGGCCCTTTTTGTCTACACAAAGAAGGTGAAGTGTGAAAGTGACTTGTGTCCATCTCTCCCTGAATCAACTCTGAATTGATCAAACTGGATCCAGTTAAACTTGTGTCTCCACTCTGACACAGTGCAGCTCCCAGTTTAGCAACAGCAGGGTGTGTGTGATGAGTTCTTCTGTGTTCTCAGGGCGGTGCTCACACACACACACACACACACACACGATGCTCCGTGAAATGATGACACACTCTTCTCTCCTATATTCCAACAGTTTCAGCTCGTTCACGGTGAAGAAAAGCAAAACCTGGACAGAGAAACATTCATATAGTTCCTCTTCCTCAGTGATGGAGGAAGAGGAAGAGAAGCTGCGTCATTCAGCAGACTCACAACATCCAACAGGGACTAAAATATGCTCAAGGTCCTCGATGACAAGGAGCTTTATTCATCTGTAGTTGTTCAACTTCTCTGACAGAGGCTAAAACAAAACAATATCATACGAGATAAACCAGCTGATATGTGATTTTCCTTCTGAACATTTTCACTAAAAGTTTGGATTCGTGTTGATTATTTTAAGAGATCCATTCATGTCTGCTCTGGTCAACGTGAAGTCTCAGCTGCAAAGTGAAAATCTAATCGCTTCACTGTCTAAAACGATTATATTCAAAGAGGTGATTAAATAAATAAGAACAGGATGACAGATGTGTCGTGTGCGCATGCGTGCCCAGCTGCAAGGCTCAAACCTCTTCTGGGCTTGGTGGAGAGAAGAATGAGATGTTTCTGAATAGGATGGGGAGCTGGGCGCCGGGAGCGCGCAGCACGCTCCTTCAATCTTTGAGATCTATTTTTAGCAACGCTGCTTGCCTCACGTGCCAAGTGGCTTTTGCGCGCGCGCGGAATAATTCATGAGCGCCATTCATTAAAAACACTCCACTTTTCATTGAGACTTTAATGGAGGAGACAAAAATAAATAAATAAATAAATAAATAAATAAATAAATAAACCCTTTCAGTTTAACTTTAAAACGTTTTAAAAATAAAAATGATTTAAAAAAAAGACGCTGAAGGGTCGGGGTGCGTCTTTTGAGGCTTTATGTCAAAATCAACATTTCTTCAGCAAATTCAATGAAGAGATGTTAAAAAAAAAGAGGTTTTGCTAATTGATTTATTCAGATTATAGTGGAAAAAAGAAATAAATCACCGATCAGTAAATATTAAATATTTATTAAAACAAGAGGAGTGTTTGTTGTTTTCAGCTGATTTAAAGTCATCATTTTGTCTCGAGCTCTTCTTTTAATGAACCTCTGGCAGGATAAATGTGGTCCGACGGAACAGCTGGATCGGACCTGCCGACTTTTACTGACAGGAGAAAACTGGTGTCTTATCAGGTGCCAGACACATAAACACAGAGACCTGGTTCGTATTCAGCACAGCCTTCCTCCCTCCTCCTCCTCCCTTCACAGCTCACCGGAGCTCGGTGTCTCCGTTTACGTTTTACTCTGGCTCCGCCTCTTACTCGGTTTTGTCCAAATCGGGCTTTTTGCGTCGCTGGAGCTCCCGACTTCAGCTCCGCGTCATCAACGAGTAAAGGGAAGAGCTGACGTCGGAGGGAGAGTCACAGGGAGGAGTGGGCACGCGAGAGGGAGGGAGTGAGACGATCTCCTCTGCTTACATTGAGACTCATCCAACCCCCCTTCCTTCCTTCCCTCCTCCTCCCTCCGCTTTACGTCGGTGTTGGCGCGTCGGGAGCCCCCCTGCTCCGGTGGAGTCCCAGGCTATATAAGTGACCGGCGAGCAGAGTCCCTCAACCAGATTTACGGGTTCCGGACTTCCCTGCGCCAGAGACGGCGACCACAGCCGCCGGATTCACCTGCGCTCCGAAAGGAGGGGACATCATCCAGCAGGCGGCCAGCCAGCATCCGAGGCTCGAGGCTGGGCAGGAGAGGGTTCATTTAAACCTTCATCAGGAGGAAGAAGAAGAAAAAATAAACAGCTGAGATGAACGTCCAACAACACACCTGAGAGCTGCTCTGGTTTAATTTGTTCCACCTGGGAGACCGGACGCTGCAACAGCCCGCTCACAAACTTCCAACCTGCAGGAATCCCACCGCAGAGACGCGCCAGCGATGTACCGCTCAACCAAAGGGGCGTCCAAGGCTCGACGGGACCAGATCAACGCCGAGATCCGGAACCTGAAGGACCTGTTGCCCATATCCGAGGCAGATAAAGCGCGGCTGTCATACCTGCACATCATGTCACTCGCCTGCATGTACACCAGGAAGTCCGTCTTCTTCACTCAAGGTAGGCTTGAATAAAAGAAGCGACCTGTTGACTCTGTAGAATCAACAAGTGTTCCAGCGGCACCAAAAAAAAAAACACGATCTCAGGACAGTCTGCGGGGATGAGAGGGATAAAAGTATTTTAAATAATCTCAATTGAAGATGATGAGAGTAAAAATAAATGCGTGTCGCTGTCCGTGGTGCTGAAACGCTTCAGCTCAACGCGCGCAGCTAT